CTCCCTCTCTCTCTCTCTCTGTGTGTGTGTGTGTGTGTGTGTGTGTGTGTGTGTGTGTGTGTGTTTGTCTGTGTCTCTGTCATTATTTTGGGCACAAGCCTAAACGTCTGCAAAATCAAGGCGAGGTTTAAAGAGTCCTATGAAGGTCACTGTACATGCCTTTTCTCTGAATAGTGCACACATGGAATTGTTGATACATTGATTACGAGTTCAAGCCCCGATGGATTCAATTATGTTAAGCTCGCTGTTGCATACTGTAACGGTGCAGACCAGAACAAGAACCGGCCTCTCAATACAAAGTACAAGATAGCACAGCGGAAGACTTAGATACCAATGATCCGAACAATCAATATTACAATGCAGCCCTGAACATACATCATCATCATCGTTACACGGTGTGAATGGGGTCTGGCGCTTCACACAGGAAGACTGCGCCAGCCCCTACCATACACAGACGAAGAAGAAGGGGTTAGACGAAGAGGAGGGGAAGATGGGAATGTCGTCAACACCAAGTCTTCGACACAGCCCAAATAGTCCCTCGTCGAAATGTCTGAATCCCAAATGTCAAGTCTGGATCCAATGTCGTCAAGTCTCAAGTCACAACTCTTTCTCTCTCTGTCGTAGTCTGAGAAGTCAGGTGGCGAGAGGGTGATAAGAGATGGTGGACTCAGAAGAGGAAGAAGAAGAACTCTCTCTCTGTGCCCAGTACTAACCTGTGAAGTTGGTGCCTTGATGCAGGTACCTCGTATGACGCCACAGGTAAGTACCACTGGCCTCCGCCAGTATCTCTCTCCGATACTGCTACCCTACCACTATAGCGCCCAGCGCTGAAGACTACAGCTATGGCTATGGGCGCCCAGCGCGGAAGACTACTACTAGCGCTAATACTACTGCCTAGCGCTGAAGACTACTGCAGCGCTCCTCCTGAGTGCTGCGGCCGAATCCTGAAGACTACTGGTGCCTCTGACAACTACCTACCCGTGAAGTGGATGGGAACTTCCTATGTACTACCGGGTGTGCCTCCTGACTGCAGGCGAGGCAGTCCAGGAGGCTGCTCTTGCCAATGCCTACGGGAGGCAGGGGCTGCAGCTGCAGCTCCTGCTCGAGCTGGCGTGGGGAACAGGCTATTTCTGGCCTGTTCCGAAACCCTGTTTTCGTGTCTCCGTTTCAGGCTAAAAAGCCTCTGGGCCTGAAAGGCCCAGAAATAGGCTGAAACGGAATAGGGCCTGCAGGCCCTCGTATTTCAGCTTCCAGGCTGAACGACTGGGGCCTGTAAGCCCTAAGTTTTAGGCTTTTAGGCTGAAAGTGTGGGACGGGCCCTGCAGGGCCCGTGTGGCTACGCACTATGTCACACTCGCCCTTCAAACAAAAAGGTCCGAGGAGATGTCTGTGTATGGTCGAGAGTTGCCGGGCATATATTCTGAAGTCGGTGCTATACTTTCAAAACTGTTTTGGGCGAGAGGAGATTGTGGGGTTGGGCAGGAATAAACGGGCTTAGAGGGGGAAATTGCCTAAAAAAAATCCTTTGCTGTTTGTCTTCCTTCCATTTTCTAATTTCCAAAATGCAGCCTACCTGGTACATTCTCCACCTGTGCTAATGCCAAGGGAAACAAACTTTCCCCGCATGCATCCCGGAAAGAAAAATGTAAGACAAGAGAAAGATTGCCTGGTTTTGTTGCTGTGATTATCTTATCTTTACCTTTCTTTCTTTCTTTTTTTTTCCCTTTATCTTTTTTTGTTTCTGGCGGTGGTGGTGATGGCTAGATTACAGTGCAGTGACTTGATATGTATGTGGTTAAATAACATAAATCGTAAATAAATAGAATACAGAGGCGAGGACCTAGCCCTGACCTGATCTAAAACCTGAGCGGAACGGGGGGAGCACAACAGGGTTTAGGGTTTAGGGAGCAACCACCTCCTGCGAGAAGAACCCAAAGGAACCTCTGGATTGGCCGTTTGGCCACACACGGACTCCTACAGGACATGTCAGGCAGTCCAATCCCCGGGGTTCGCCAGGGAGCCACTGCTGTCCAGTGAAGGATGACTGCCGTCTGGAAGGGGCGGACCCCTTGGCCTGCAACCTCCGAACGATGTAGGGAAGGATAGGGGTAGATGGTCAAGCTAACTTAGGCAGGGGTCAGGGGTGGTATATCGTTCCGTCGGGAAGTAATCAATGCCATCTACTCGGGCCCCTCAACCGTAATGGGGAGGAGCGTGGGTGAGCATCCAATGTATTTCGCTTTGACTTGCCGGTGGAATAGGAACCAGACTGCCGCTCCCCAGAATGGAAAGGAGCAAGAA